TGGAGAGTTCTGACATTAGTGGCTGAAATCCTGTTCCCCTAAATTAAGCCATGTAAGGCTGATGATGTCATCAACTGTGGTGATTTTTCAGAAATAAAATCTGTCTGATTTCACTCTCACTTCTCAGATTCATGTGGAATTCCTTTTATCATGAGAAGGCTATTGGGGGCTGGGCATCCATGCAGGTCATTAACATTCATATACTATCTGCATAGACCAGTGGGAGTGTGGGAGGGACGGAGTCACAAGATATAAGAGATTCAGCAGGAGGACGGGGAGATTTAGATAGGGAATTTTGAGATGTTTGTTTAAGAACAACATTGCTTGTTTTGTCAAAATCTGTAATAAACAGTTTCTATTGGGTTGTTTTACAATGACATATGGCCTGGACTTTGATCATTAGTAATAGATATTGTTGATGTAATCAACTGGTAGCAGCTGAAAGGCATGTAGCGTGAACTCTTAGTTTGGTGAAACAAGCTGGGGCCACGTGGAATCGTGACAGGTGCTACAGGGTGGAGTGGGGAGTTTTTAATTACCTGTAATGAAAATCACTGCCACCAGATGTCTTTACCACCAGCAATGACTTTCCCCATTCTGTAGTGCCCAGTGGCTTCTCCATGATGAAAGGAATTTAGTGAGAGCCTTGGGACATCTGGGAACGGGGATCAGAAATTTCTGTTTCTGAAAAATTGCTGTGGAAGATGATGTCATCAACTTTATATAAGAGAGCTGTGTGAACAGGATTTCAACCAGACTATTTTTTTAGGGCGCTGACTTCTTTAATGCTAAATTGTTTATTTTTCTCAGTGTCCCTATATATAGATACTATGTTGACTTTTGAGTAGAACTCTGGCACTGAATTTTCACTCTTTCTCATTCATCTGTAAAATGAAAAGTGAGTTTGTCTTGGCTATAAAATATGGAGCTCTCCCTGGTCCGTGTCCTGCTGCCAGGCAGTGGGCTTCCCAGGACCAGGCCGCAGAGACAGATATCCCGCCCCCAGCATGCACTCCCCCCACGCATGCCCACAAGACCTGCCCACCTGCACACACGGGTGCCCTGCCCACCTGTAGGTGCATGCGAGCATGCTACGCTCACCCACAAATGAACCACGCTCACCGGTGCATGTACACAAGTATGCCCCACTCACCTGCAAGCATGCCACACCCACTCTCAAGCAGGGGGTGCCCCCCCGCACAGATGCCCCCCAACCAGTCCAAAGTTTGGAAAAAGTTGGGGACCACTGTTTTAGGGGACTCCTAGCAGTTCTTTGAGATTTCCTATTAGCATTTTAACTCAAGGGTCCCTTGGAAGGATCTTGACTTGCATGATCATGCAGTGCTCTGGCCTAGCTAGGATCCAGTTAAGACTCAACTCTTTAGCATCCTCTGTCAAGTCACTTCTGACATGGTAACCGTTCTCAGGGTTACTTAATGCTGTTTAGCACAGAGATCTTTTTGTGTATTCTGTATTTACCACACGGGTAAATATTGATAGAGAAATGTCACATTCAAACATAACTATCTCCTTAAAAAAAGAAAGATAAACAAGAAGTTTAAAATAAGCAAATCCGGCAAAATAACTCAGGCATTTAAACTAATTATTTTTAGTGTACACAGTACTATAGTGATTGTATAACCTGATTTTAACTAAGGGTGTGATCATTTCTTTTCCAGAATTGGGTAGAGGTTCAGTATATAGCCATCATTTATCTCAGTTTAGGGAGCATTTTGAACTTGTCATAAAATACATACTGAACTGTTAGTACCCAACAACAGAAGCTCTCTGCATTGTACATCAGAAATATGAAATATAAGTCAAAAGGAGTAACTGAAGAGAGCACATAATAAATTCAAGATAAATCTAGCAGATAGAATAAAAATACTGTGCCCTATTAAAAAATAAACCTAGTAAAGTAGAAGAATGCTTGTTCTGAAAGCACTAAAGTAATTCTTAAAATGTTCCCCATTATGTCAACACACTATTGTTGGTGTGACAGTCTTAGCTGTAGTGGCTTTGAAGAAAAATGGTGCCATTAGTATGTTATTAGCTGTAAAGGTATGGTAGACATCCTATGTGTATTCCCGTTCCCTAAGTGTAGGTGGAAATGTAGAATCTTTTAGATAACACTGATAGAAAATCCACAGTGCATATCTACTTAGAGTCATGTCCTATTACATGCAGTGATATTTACTTTGAGTTATGTGTAATTGCCCTAGTCATATTTCTGTGACTTCCACAGCTAGAAGAGAGGGATACGAACTGGCATATGTGAATATGGTAGTGTAGGGAAATAGTGAATAGTGTTGGTGTAAGTTGCAGTTTGGTAGGCTAGATGCCTTTAGTGCAGCTGAAATGTGCACATGGTTTGCTACCTTTGCCTCATGTTTGTCTGCTAGTATCATCTTCCCTACAACCAAAGCCTAGCAAACTATCACATTCAGTTGTGACTGTGTAGAAGCCACTTGTGCCTTTGGTGTGGCGTGGAGCAAGCACAGTTACAGCTTCATAATCCAAAATCAGGTTTCTGAAAAGCTACAGGAGAAGGCTTTTTATGAGTACCATGTCTTCTTATTTACTTCTACCACTGTGGGAGACTTGGTATATAAAAGATGTGATCAACTAATTCTTGGTGATCACATTCTCCCCTTTACCTAGGAGGCCGACATAAGTCTGTTGACTTGACAACTTGACACGGATTCTCCCCATCCTCTAGAAAACAGAAAGAATTTGGACAATGTGATAGAGAAGGGTAAAAGATCAAAATTTAGTTTGTTAAAAAGATCCAGTCATTCTTTTGCAGCACATATTAACATGTTTCAAGATATTTCAGAGGCTAGCCTGACACACTCCAGAATGGGAACGTTCTAGGACAAAACCACCTCTGGCTTTTTTCTTTGCTTTACCAGGCTGCTTGTCAAATTAAAATTACATTTGCTGAATTTTTTCTTTCATTCACCAGCCTGTTTCCTGCCATAGTTTATTTACACTTGCCAGTGAAAGCCTGTTGGTGCTCTGAGACTATCCAACATTACTATGCATAAGATCAACGGATAAGAAAGGAGGGAGGGAAAGAAAGATGATACTTTTGTGAACACACACACAAACCCTTCCATCAGCCTCAGTTTTACTTGATAGTAGAGCACTTAGACAAAACAGGACAGTCCTTTAGAAAAAGAAGCACTGACATGATTGGTAGATTGAGTGGTTGGTTGTCAAAACAGAAAGCCCATCACAAATGCTGAAAAATGCCATGAACAACACTACTCCCTGTTGGCCATATGTTAGGAGCATGAAGACATATATAGAGAGAGCACAGGATTTTAAGTAACTCTGTTTATGATCAAGGTGCCTGGTTACTTTTCATTATACCTACTCCAACTAGTGTAAGTATTTGAGGTGAATTGAGACCTGTAAAGATAGACTGTCTCCACCACCACTGCCACCATATATGCAGTATACGTATAACCAACATTGTGATTTGTATTTATTAATTCCAGTCTGAATAAATTTCCCAAATAAAGGTGTTCTTTGGTTAAACTTTAAGAAAGGCTTAGATGCCCACAGGTGCAACAACAGCAGAAACAAGTGACATTTATAATAATAACACTTGGTAGTTAATGGGTTTGTACCAACAAAGAATTCCACATACAGTGGTGCCTCGCATTACGACGTTAATTCGTTCCAGCCAAATCGCTGTAGAACGAAAACGTCGTAATGCGAAAATAAAAAGCCCATTGAGACGCATTGAAACCCCTTCAATGCGTTCCAATGGGCTGGAAACTCACCGTCCAGCGAAGATCCTCCATAGGGCGGCCATTTTCTGTGCCTGTGCAGCAAGGAATCCATCCCAGAAAACAGCGGGGAGCCATTTTATTTACCCGGCGGCCATTTTGAAACCGCCAGTCAGCTGTCTGAAAATCGTCGTTTTGCGAAGAATCGGTTCCCAAAGCAGGGAACCGATCATCGTAAGCGAAAAATCCCCATTCAGACCCTCGTTTTGCGATCGCAAAAAATTGTCGTAATGCGGTTTCATCGTAAAGCGGGCAATCGTAAAGCGGGCAATCGTAAAGCGAGGCACCACTGTACATTCTCAGCACTATGCAGTTCCAAATCTCTGTCCTTAATTTAACTCTGAATACTTTTGTCTTTTCTGCTTCCAGGGTCATCTTGCTTCAGTTGAAGCTGCTGAATGTAGACCCTTAAAGATGATAGACTCCCTTCCCTCCAGAGAGAGTCATCTACAGGCCCTGCGGGAAACCTATGAATTTGATGTTCTTGTTATAGGTGGAGGTGCCACAGGAAGCGGTTGTGCCTTAGATGCTGTTACGAGAGGTGGGTTCTCTAAATGAAGACATAAGTGGTACCTTCCCCACCACAAGGTCTAAATGTGTATTTGAAACATCATTCAAACTATAGAGACACGAGTGGTCCCCTTTTCTTTCACCCAACATTTCCCATTGTTCTTCCAAGCTAATGTAAATCCCATCACTAGCCTATGGTGAATTCTAGAGTGTTCTTAAATGCTAGATTGGAGCAAGGAATATACCCAGCAACAACTTAAAATGTAAACAAACCCATGTCATCTTGGTACATATCCCAGAACCATATCTTAAAACCAGGAAATATAGTAAATTGCCTTTTGTTGAAATGTGAGATTACAGATTGGCAATAAACCTTAGAAAGTTACTGTATAAAAGTAACTTGGTCTAGTTACTTATAACGTTTAGTAATTAGTTATAATTGCTTTATAAGGAAAAAGGACGTAACTTATTAGTAATTCTGTTGCTCGTTACTTTTTGTTACTTTGAAAAATACCTGTCAAAATGCCTCTAAAATGCTTATAAATTCCCTTTGAAAGTAACTAGAAAATATGATTCAGTGCACAAGTAAACTTATTCCCAAATAGTACTCTTGAAATATGACTTTGTTTTTACCTTGTTATCCCTCGTTATCTCTCTTTCTCTCCTGACTTTTCTAAAATGTATTTTTGAAAAGCATTCACTTTATTTGTAGTTGTACCATGTTTGAAAATTTTTCTTCAGACCAATTACTCCTTGGTTTGACCATCTGAAAATATTCCATTTGCAGGCTGTCTCCCCCCTTCTTTTTTGGGCGTTCCATATCATTCACTTAAAATATGTACATCATCCCACCTGCCTTTGCTGGGGTCCTGTCTTACATTACACTTTTCTGCCTATGGCTTGTGCCCCACCCAGACAGCTGGTGGATATCTCCACATTCAGCCACATTTTATTCTTGTCCTCAAATTAATTGAAAAACGTTTTCTTTCCTTTGTAGCATTTAGCTACCCATTATTCCTTCACCCCACCATACCTCAGCAGCAAAAGTACATGCATTAAGGCAAAACTGGAAGAATAAATTACTCTCTATGTGAGAAAAATAGTATTTTTTCTGCCTGTATTCATTTATTGATAAAGATAAGCTTGTCAAAGATGCAATGTTTTTTGGTTTAAAATAAATAGCATGAATGAATCAGGAAAATTGGACACATACAAGGAAAAAGAGAAATTATAACACAAAGGAAGCAAAGTTTAGAAATCAGGTACTAGAGCAGGGTGAACAGAAGTTTGTGGGGTCACTTTTGGTTTTTTGCCAAAACGTCTGGATTCACCAGTGCACCTAGTTATGTAAGAGATACCACAGACTTTCTGAAGAAATGTCCTCCCTCATGACCTCCCTGACAAACACCATCGTATGGATGTAGATGCTCTCTTCACGAACATCCCACACACGGGTGGTTTACAGGCTGTCAGAAATATCATTCAAAATAAGGAGGGAGCACGCATAGTCACCACCCGCTACAACTTTGTATTCACACACAGCTGTTTCACATTTGACAATAAAACCTAGATTCAGATCACATTTGACAATAAAACCTAGATCCAGATCAGCGGCATCTCCATGGGCACTCACATAGCTCCACAATATGCAAATATATTTATGGCTGACCTAGAACTTTCTTTCTTTACTGTTGTACCTCTCCTCTATTTGAGGTACCCCCTTCACGGATTGCTGCCTTGTTGTGGCGAAGGGGCTTGAGTAATTTAGAGAAGCTATAGGCTATGCCATGCAGGGACCCCCTTCACGGATTGCTGCCTTCTTGTGGCGAAGGGGCTTGAGTCATTCAGAGAAGCTATGGGCTATGCCGTGCAGGGACACCCAAGACGGACAAGTCATAGTGGAGAGTTCTGACTAAATATGATCCACCTGGAGCAGGAACTGGCAAGCCACTCCAGTATCTTTGCCAAGAAAACTCCATGAACAGAAACAAAAGGCTAAAAGATATGACGCTGGAAGATGATCCCCTCAGGTTAGAAGGCATCCAATATGCTACTGAGGAAGAGCGGAGGACAAGGACAAGTAGCACCAGAGCTAATGAAGTGGTTGTGCCAAAGCCAAAAGGACGCTCAGCTGTGGACGTGCCTGGAAGTGAAAGGAAAGTCCAATGCTCCAAAGAAAAATACTGCATAGGAACCTGGAATGTAAGATCTGTGAACCTTGGGAAGCTGGATGTGGTCAAACAGGAGATGGCAAGAATAAACATTGACATCCTGGGCGTCAGTGAACTACAATGGATGGGAATGGGCAAATTCAATTCCAGACGATTATCATAGGGAGTCAACAGATAAAAGGAATAGCAGGTAGAAATGGAGTAGCTCTCATAGTCAACAAAAGAGTGGGAAAAGCTGTACTGGGATACAGTCTCACAAATGATAGAATGATTTCAATACGAATCCAAGGCAGACCTTTCAACATCACAGTCATCCAGATTTATGAACCGACCACCTATGCTGAAGAGGCTGAAATGGACCAATTCTATGAAGATTTACTTCTAGAACTGACACCAAAGAAAGATGTTCCTGCCATTATAGAGGATTAGAATGCTAAAGTAGGGAGACAAGAGATAAAAAGGAACAACAGGCAAGTTTGGCCTTGGAGTTCAAAACGAAGCAGGGCAAAGGCTAATAGAGTTTTGTCAAGAGAACGAGCTGATCATCACAAACACTCTTTTCCAACAACACAAGAGGCAACTCTACACAAGGACATCACCAGACGGGCAATACCGAAATCAGATTGATTATGTTCTCTGCAGCC